TGTATCTCTGCTTTGGGGAACATGCAGTTAAGCCTAGAATTTATTGATGCCATTACACAAATTATAGATTAATCAGTTAAGTTTCCATAAAGTCTGTGTCCCCCTTTTTGTACCACAGTTCTTTTAACACTCCCATAGAGAGTTTGGAGGGATATTGTCCTTATTTTTTTTATAAGATTTCAATAGTTGTGTTGGAGAAAGTCTGGAGCCATTTAATTGTTATAGGCCTGCACCATTTCTGTATGTTATTTAAGGACGAGCCTCCATCATACAGACCCTGTCATGCTGTGAGGGACTTCAGAGCCTGTGTACATGTATGTGCACAGTGTGTGTGTGTGTGCAGCAGGTGGTAAAATCCAATCACGTGTTGAAGACCTCTGTCAGCAAGCACTACATTAGCCTCTAATACATTTCATGGTGTTTACAAGATGCCTGCGCTTCAGGAACATCTGCTGAAATTGGCATGGCTTCCTGGATTTCCCATGGGTGAAGAGACAGCAAGTGATTGTGTGTTTTTGTGTTCATAAGTATGTGTGTGTGCCAACAGCTTGCTGATATGAGTGGATAGAGATGGACTTGGCACCAGCTCCTTTAATGCTGACCTTCTGACCTTTCACAGGATGAGAGGATTGCAGATAGATTCTGCATGGTGCCATATCCTGTAGGTGCAAAGTCAAACGCAAACTTTTCCTGGCAAGAGCAGATTATTCTCTTCCAACACACAAATCCAGCGTTTAATCTTTAATGTGAATATTTAACTTGTAATCAGTTAGTTTACCAGGTTAAACACATTAAAACTGGGACTTTCATAGTAGAGTTCTGATCCTTCATTGTATGGATATTCACATCTGCTCACATAACTGAATGAACCGATACAGAATTCGGCACAGGAATAAACTTTAGAAATATATGCAAATAAATAACTGTACAAACACAGATTACCCAAACAATAACTGCAGAAGGCTGGACTCTTTTCTAAAAGTTTATTTGACTTGGCAAGCTATTCAATAGATGTACAAAAAAGGCAGAGACATTTAGATAAAGCGCTTGATTAATCAAAGCCGTTTTGAAACAGTTTGTAGAGATTAATAGAAGATTTTATCCAAGACTGATGAAAGAGGGGATGAGACAACATTCCCCCTAGTCGTATTCCTCGCTGGAACCAAAGGAGACAGTCGTGCTTGCAAATCACAGAGGCGAGGCAGAGGTGGGTGTGTCCCCCGGGGAGCACCTCTAGGTGTGAGAAAGTCTCTGCAGAAATTTTACTGAAGTCAAAGCAGATAATCCTTCTCACACTGAAGCGAGCACTGGTGCAGTACATTTGGATATCTGTGCAAAAATGCATTCGAATGCATTTAAACAGTATTTGTACCAAAAAGTTGGCCTGCAGGAAAAATGCACTAATATGACCTCAAAAGACCCAGGTGTCCCATTTGGACTTAAGTGGGGAACATAATACACCAGATAGCACGGACATACATTTAAATGTAAGAGTGATAGATTGAGTCTTAGCTTAACTTAAGTACCGCTTTGAGTTTCACAACATCTCTGATCATTATTACCTAATCCCCCAGCCAACAATGCACATGTACACACACACTCTAGGGTAACCACGTGGCAAATGTGTAAAGTATATTGCAGAGAATCTGTCCATTATCACTGTTTAACAATTTAAATGTAAAACTTATGCACAAAGGGCTAATACACTAATAGAGTACATTTTTCTGAGCATGAAAAGGAGCCAGTACTTTGTGATGTTTCTTTCGATGCTGAAGGCAATGCATCAGGTACTGTTGGCTATTGAGCATCAGCCAATCAGTTCCTGATGCAGTATCATCCACATCAGAAAGCTCTTCCTTCACCCCAATATCAGTGCAGGGGCAACCAAAGCTGAGAAGTTTACAACACATTTGGTTCTTCTGCAATATGTCCTAATGGTGAGAGAAGCGATACAAAAATTACCCAAAAACAAGCCATTATTATTCTTTTCATCCTACAATAATACAATAGCCAATACTGTACAGTACACATCATTGTAAGTCAAGATGGCAGCAGAAGCATCTGGAAAGTGAATTCATGCAAATTCAAAATGGGCATGCATTATGAAAGAGCTGCAAGAGATGAGGCTGCACTTCAAAAGACTGTCGAAAAGAAATTTTTTAAAAGTGGGGAAGGGGGATGCGAGAGAAGGAAGAGCAGACAGAGAGGGTGTCTGTGAAACGCGTTTGTGTAATTGCAGTGACATCTTCATTGAGAGCCCTCCATCTCTTTCCTGTGTGCTCCAAAGGGCGTCGCTGACGCCGGTCGATGGGGAGAACAGCCGAGGCGCTGTGTTTAGCATAATCCCAGAGGCCATTGTGAGAGCAGCTAGTGAACGACTCACAGTTGCCAGCTGAGATTTCACCAAAACACAGCAGAACGCAAGGGGAAGGGGATGAGATAGGAAAATCAGAAGTGGAGGAGGGGTAAGAGTGGGGAAAGAGCTCAGGCGACAGGAGGATTGGTAGTAGTAATGAAGAAAAAATGCAGATGTGTCAGATATTACATTACAGGGAGTGAAGAGTAATATTCTGTATATATACACACAGTAGGCCTTCAGTTGTTTGTGTGTGGGGGGGCTGACAGGAGGGTTGTAGGATCTCGGTGGTGGTTGTTATCTGTGGCGAGTGAGCAGCTTGCACAGCATCAAAGAGGAGTATAAAGTGTGAAACACGTTTTCTTCCAGGTGGACTGCACCTGTTGGCCCTTATTCAGGGTTGTAATTCAATAATCTCCACCTTTTTCTTCTTTTAAACAACCACTAACTGTTTTGACTTGTAACAGTGAGGCATAAAAAGATTAAGCAAAAGTGTCCCATGGCAACATTACCTCTATTGTGCAACGATCATTACCTTAAGCTAGAGTGTGAAATCCTCTTTGATCACCATTCCACATAGACAGACGTTTTTTTAGCCAACCTTTGGTAAACAACTTCGTCTCCTCCTAACATGTTACAGAAAATGATGAATGGCGATTTCTGCGGTTCACGATACGGAGAATGGAGATGAAATGAAGACACAGTTTAGGGGTTTATGTTTTGGGTTTGAGGTTTTTTTTTTTAAAAAGGCATATTAGACAAACTGCACAATCTCTCCAGGTGATTGTGAGAATATAAAACACCATCACAGTTGCCTGCAGAGATTACTCAGTCAGCCCAACACACATACAAACACACACAC